GGGCACAAACTGAAGCAGAGGAAGCTCCAGCTGAACCCGAGGAAGAACTTCTTCCCTCTGAGGGTGACGGAGCCCTGGCCCAGGCTGCCCAGGGAGGCTGTGGAGTCTCCTTCTCTGGAGATATTCCAGCCCTGCCTGGCCGCGGTGCTGTGCAGCCTGCTGTGGGTGACCCTGCTTGGGCAGGGGGTTGGGCTGGGTGACCCACAGAGGTCCCTGCCAACCCTTGCCATGCTGGGATTCTGTGATTTCACGACAGTTGTCTCTTTGCAGGCCCCCACCCCGAAAGCCAGCCCTGCCCGGACAGAGCGGGCTGGTGGCAATCACGTGGCTGTGTTTATTTCCAGGATCTTTGCTGGAGGGCAGGAGGAGACGGGGCGGGGATGGAGAGGACTAAATTGATCCTAAAAATACACACGTCCGCCACAACAAGGCAAAAAGGGCCGGTTTGGGGCTCTGTCTGCGCGTGGGGAACCTGCTCACCCTGACCCCATCCTTTGGTTGCCACCGTCCTTCCCCCACGAAGCCTCCCCGCTCCGGGCTGCGACCACCGAGCCCAGGACACCACCTTCCATCTCCTCTGCTTCCCCCCGCTCCGAGGAACAGGAGCCTCCTTGTTTTGGGCTGGCTGGAGCCAGCAGAAGCGGAGCAGATGCTGGGAAACAGGCCAGGACCTGCCCAGAAACCCCGACTGCTGGCCACCCCAGCCCCACCAGCCCTGGGGTCCCCCGGCGAGTCCCCGCCCCCCCTGTGATTTGCACCCACCCAGCACAATTCCGGGCAGCGAGGTGTTAGCAGGAGTGTAAATAAATCTCCTGCTGCCCAAAATAAATGCCCTCTGACCTAAATACAGACGGATCCGGGGCTGCTGGGAAGGGAGGTGACATTTCTGCGGGCTGACCACAGCATCCCCAACGCGATGGGCGACTTCAGCTACCGCAGAAGCAGGATTGTCAGCAGCCAATGTGGACAGGAGCGGTGCTCTCAGTTCCCCTGGGAAAAGTCATTACCCAGCTCCTCGGGGATGACTCCCCTCCTCAGTATCTCCTGCCTGGAGCAAGGAGGTCTCACTTGGAGGCATCTCAGGTGGCTTCAAAGCTGCATCCTCATCCAGGGAGATGCCACCAGAGGAGGTCACTTCCCAGCACTGAGGCATCTCAGGTGGCTTCAAAGCACCATCCTCATCCAGGGAGATGCCACCAGAGAAAGTCACTTCCCAGCACTAAGGCATCTCAGGTGGCTTCAAAGCTGCAACCTCACCCAGGGAGATGCCACCAGAGAAGGTCACTTCCCAGCACTGAGGCATCTCAGGTGGCTTCAAAGCCGTGTCCTCATCCAGGGAGATGCCACCAGAGAAAGTCACTTCCTAGCACTGAGTCTTCTGAGCAGTGAATCTGCTCAGCCTCAAAACACAACGGTTTCCTGCAACCATCCCCACTGGTGCTTGTCGTGCTGGGAAGCGATCCGATCTGCTCCGAAGGGGACCACAGCCCCCAAGACCCTCCCAGCTGCCGGGTTTGAGGACCAGCTGCTGCAGCCGCTGCGGAGCCGCTCGTCCCCAGAACCCGGCAAGGCACCAAACCCCGGCGAGGGTGACCACAAGCGTCTCATGAACTGCATTTGGAGACGGTGGGGGTGGCAGGGGGGGTGCGACGGCCAGCAGAGCAGCCCTGGGAAGAGAGGTCCTCTCTGTGCCTGGCTTCTCCGCGGTTTTTGCTAAGGACACCGCTCTTATATCCCGCAGCGGTTTCCCGCTAGCAAATACCTCTGGGTCTGTCTGTCCTGGCCAAACCACCAGCCTGATGAATTACCTCCACCTCCTCTTTCCAAGCACCCAACCCCTTTCCACTTGCCCTGTAGCTCTTGGCCATCCTTCCTATAGTTCAGCCCAGATTTAATTAACTCACTGTTGCATCCTCTGCTCTCCCTGCTCGTCACCAGCACAAGGTGACGGGTCCTGCAAACTCAACAACCTGCTCCCCTTTCTGCAAACTCAACGTCTCCATCTGAGTCCCACCGTGATGACCTCCAGGTGCAGGACATGTGGCGTGGGGGAGAGGAACCGTCCTCTGCCCTTACCTTTTCATCCAGGCTGACGGCTCGCCTGCTGCGGCCCCTGAGCAGCCAGTGCGGCGTGACCCGCTCTCCGTGGGACGGTGGCCCTGGAGAAGAGAAGACCCAGTGAGCGTGTGAACACACCTTGCAAGTCCCTGAGAGCGGGAGCTCCTCCACGGCCACGTCAAGAGAGAAATGGGGGGAAGAGGCAGCGCTGGGGGCCGTGGCTGATGTCCAGGGCCACCTCTGGGGTGGTTCTGGGTGATGGACACCAGCGCAAAGCAGAAGCATTGACCCCTCCCCAAGCCAGCGCCCTCATCGCTGCCTCCCAGAAGCATCACCGCTCACCCAGGTCCCAGATCCCCCAAAACCTACCCAGACGAAGCAGCTGGCACGTGGGTGGCACCACCCTGACCCCGCTGACGTCCCGGCCTTCACCAACCAGCCCAGGCAAACCCCCCCAGCACCCCCTGAGCACCCCAGCCCGGGGCGAGGGCAGGGGCTGCGCATCCTCCCGCCGGCTCCATCTCTCCCGCGTCCCACAAACAGCTTTTTGGGGGGGATTTATGCTTTCAGATTGTTGATTGTGGTCATTGACAGGACGGGGAAGCACGGTTCGACCCCCCCAGAAACCGAGCCGTCATTTTTCCAGCCAGAGCCGGGCTCGAGCAGGGAGCAGCGGAGCTCAAATAGCTGCAGCACATTACGGGTTTCTCTGAGCCATCCCAGCTCCCCCGGGCAGAGCAGCACAAGCAATTCCTTGGCTCGAGACAGGCAGACTTTCTAAGATTCTTTTTTTTTTTTTTCCCCCTAAACAAGCCG